CACTACTGGTCATTACTACTTCAAAGTAGACAAAAATAATAACATCTCTGACTATTAAGCATGATTCTGTATCACACATTTCAGTGAGTATATATATTTTATTAGGGCTGTTAAATTGATGAAAATCAGAAAAAGAAATGTAATCACTTTTTTTTAGATTAGGAAAATGAAATAATAAGGTTTTATATGAAATATTTTTTTGAGGTGCACATACTATTATATTTGTGTGTTGTTATGTCCATGGTATTTAAAAAAAATAGATCAGATCAAAACCATATACATAAATTTTTCAGTAGATATTTATACAGTTAGAATATAGCAGTTTGTAACATGTAAATGTTTATTTTGATAAATAATAACCATCATAAATGTTACTTTAACTACAGAAAATAATAAATAATGTATAGTCTTCGTACCATCTGTTGAGCATCCACTGGTCCCATCACTGGAGCAGTATCTCATTTCTATCCTCTGTCTCCCAACATCCAGCATATTTGGATCTGGAAGTCGAGTCTTACATGTATACCTAAACCGCTGCTCATAGTGCCCACCATTATCAGATATGTTAACAGGTGTCCAGGGTGTCCATGGAGTTGTCTTTTTTACTTCAGGACAAAGATTTGTGTTACAGGTCTGATGTTCCTGAAATGCAGAAAAAGAAATATGTAAAATAAAATAAATTATTTTCATATATTACATGTTAAGCAAGCAAAGGGATGCAAATCAAGATTTGGTAGAGTTGTATACAAAGGTAGAGCAGGGGAGGGCAGACAACGGGGCAAGTGGGCAATTGACCACAGACCACTATTATGAGGAGATACCTCACATCACAGTGCTAAATAAATCATGTATCTAAATTATTTTATTATTGCATTCTAGTAACTGCAGTTTTAATATAAAACATCTTATATAAAACTAGGAAAGGAAGTTAAGTGTTGGACAAAGAAAAGTTTTTTTTCCTCAAAATTGTGCTGTTTGCTTGTAACTGACCTCCAGGCCGAAAATAGCAGCCGCCCCCTACTTGGAAGCAGGTAAAGAATGAGGTTATTGTGTACAGCTTAGAGTCTTTTAACCCTTTAAGGACACATGACGTGTGACATATCATGATTCCCTTTTATTCCAGAAGTTTGGTCCTTAAGGGGTTAAAGGGGACCCATGATTTCTTTGGTAGGTATACCATTGAACGAATTATCAAAAATCACCAATAACATGTATTTACCTCTTTCCATGTGAGGCTCTAATTTTTTTTTAAGCACAATAAATCACAATGCATTTCAGCCCTAGCACAGCCTGAGCCCCTGTTACAAATGAGGAGAAATAAAAACACGTATTCATTTATTCACTTCTCTGTTAGCACTCCCTGCGCTAACTGCCAGGTTCAAAAGTGTTTATAACAAAATGGAGGAACCCGGTTGATAAAAGGATGTACATTTCTACATTTAATTGTACTGTAACACATTATAATTTTTTTTTCTCAAAATTAGCCAATAATTAAACATAATATTAAAAATCTTGGTAAATGAAAGTTCCCCTGTAACCCCTTAAGGACCAAACTTCTGGAATAAAAGGGAATCATGACATGTCACCCATGTCATGTGTCAATAAGGGGTTAAATGGCACCTACTATGCACAAAACAAATTTGGCTCTTTAAAGAGCATTAAATTGTATCTATACATTATGTTAGCAGTTTTGCTAGCAAATTAATAGTTTTGGGGAAAAAACTATGTAAAAATAGGTCTATTTCCCAGCTGTCAAATTCTTCAGCGTAGACTCTATGCCAAAGAATTGATTGACAGGTAAAGCAGAATGGACCTCCTAAAAGTGGTCCTTCTGCTTTATATGCATAGCAACCACAGCACATGCACTGTACCTCTCTAACTGCCAATGTTGAAATCACATTTGGTTTAGAATCATTGTTTACTATGCTGGTTGCTAATTTGTGATTTTAATAGCATTTTGTCCACTAAAACATCAACTCTGGAAACTGACTACTTCAGTCAAAGTGTAAAAACATGTAAGTTAGGTTCACAGCTCCATAGTTAAATAAAACATTTAGTTATTTGAAGTGAAAAACGCAAAATTACTTAGTGTTAAAGCATTCATTTGTAACATAGTAATACAGATATGTGACAGGCTGCACTTGAAGTACTTGAGTCTTATTTAGCAGACATATTCTTTTGTATTACTGTAACAATTTCCAGTCCTGGAAACCAATTAGATTGCCTACCATTGCCTTGTGAAAGTTACTTTACAAAAAGCACAAGTGAAATAAATTCAAATAGGAAAAGGTACATCCTGGTCATATTTTGAGACAATGAACAGTATAGGAAAGTCTGTGCTCTGGGAAAACATAAGCCCATTTACAACCTTGTCACTAATTTTTACTGGTTGGCTGCTACTTGCTATAATGTCTGTTACTACTGTAAGTAGCTGCCGACTACAAAATTTAACAGGGAGTTATCGGCAGCTGCTAAAGAAAGCCATTCACTAAGGTGAACAGCTCCCATTATTTTCTATGGGTACTTTACATGGTGCAACAGTAATCATAAGGCATGGTTTGTAATCTACATATATTCATAAAAAGGGCAGACCATTCTATTTCCAATTTCAATATTTTATATACAAACTACTGAGGTATCATGCCAAAAGTAAAGTAGAAAACCGTAAATAAAACTGTAATATATACCTTTTTTCATTCTTTGAAAACCTAACCAAGCGACTAAGTTATATGAGACTGCATAATAAATCTAGTGAATGAACGACTTGTAAACATATATTGGGACATCAGAATGATAGTTATATAGGATCTGTCATTTACAGCATGCAGTCTCAGTGACTGGCTCCCACATTTGAGAGGCATCAAGCTAAAATATGGTAATTGTCATTGTGCGTACCATGTACAGAGGATGCTTCTAAATCTCCAACATGGACGAGGCATGTTTTTGTTGTAATAAGCTATCACAGTGATCAGATGCCTGCAATAGCGTTTGATGGGCTATTACTATTACTAATGCATCCAGAAATTAACTAGTACATCCTAGGGTCAGTGTGCACATCTAGAGACTAGCCCCTGTCTCAAAGCAACTACATAATGAAGACCCAATGCCTCTTGGGTAGTTGAGATTAGATACTTGAAGCAGACTCCTATTTGCCTATGAGGTATCAAGTAATAACCTGCTTTCTCTGTGATGGGGAAGCTCATGTTTTAACATGCCTTTAAACAGAAATATAAGGCTAATTGGTGTTGACATACACTGTTTGCTGGCCATCAGGAAAGGGTTAAAATAAATGTTGTGTGAGTTGAAAATTCTAAAACCCATTCTTCCATTGTCTAGGTTCCATCAGGTTCAGCCTGAAAAAAATATTATTCATGTAAACATGCTGACAGCATTCAGCTTTAATATTTAACATAAGTACATAGTTACATAGCTGAAAAGAGACTTACATCCATCAAGTTCAGCCTTCCTCACATATGTTTTTGCTGTTGATCCAAAAGAAGGCAAAACACACAGTCTGAAGAGCTTCCAATTTTGCAACAAACTAGGAAAAAATTCCTCCTTGACCCCAAAATGGCAGTCAGATATCTCCTTGGATCAAGCAGCTATTACCCCACTAATTAGAAATTCTATACCTGTATGTTATGTTTTTGCAAGTATTTATCCAACTGTTATTTAAACATCTGTATGGGTTCTGATAAAACCACCTCTTAAGGCAGAGAATTCCATATCCTTATTGTTCATACTGTAAAAAAACATTTTATTTGCTTTAGATTAAATCTCCTTTCTTCCAGCCTAAATGTGTGACCTTGTGTCCTATGTATAGCACTGCACCATTTGTGTTTTAAGAAAGTATTTCAATGTCAATGTTTTTTTACTAATAAAATAATGGTTGCTAATGAAATAGGAAAGTTATTAAGATATGGTTTTCATATCATGGTTAGAGTTTAGCGGACACCTGGATGTTCGGGTCCAGCAGGTTTGGCCGAACTTTGAAAAAAAGTCTGGGTTCGGGCTCGAACTTGAGCCCGAACTTGACCCTGAACCCCATTGAAGTCAATGGGGACGTGAACTTTTGGCCACAAAAATGCCTCTAAAAAACTCATGGAAAGGACTAGAGAGCTGCAAAAGTTGGGGTAAGAGTAGGACAAGTGCCCTGCAAACATATGTGGATAGGGAAATCACTTAAAATAACATAAAAATTAAAAATACAGCTGAGCCATAAAATAGCACTAGATGGAATCTTTGATTTTAGCTTTGGAAGAACATAAATCAAAATCTAAAGCATGGCTGTCAGGAGGATCAACAGAATTATCCATTTGAGAGAGGGTTGGAGTGTTGGGTATTCTCTTTCATTGTTCAAACTGAGCTCAACTCCTGATGCATGGAGAAAAGGCCTTCACAAGCCTCTGCTAGTGTGTACATAGTTTATACTAAGTGACCCATAGGTTGAGGAGGCGGTGACCGTGGCAGTGTAGGTGGAAGCAGCGGTGGAGGAGGAGGAGGTAGCCAACACTGTTTTTAATATATATATATATATATTTTTAATTGGGGTAGCCCCCAAAATATAGGGACATACAAAAAAAGAAACATTTGCGGCCTGCGGTGCATTTCTCGCAGTCCTGATGCATGGAGAAATGCTCAACTCCTGATGCATGGAGAAAAAGGCCTTCACAAGCCTCTGCTATTGTGTACATAGTTTATACAGCCTATTAAAATACTAAAATAGGCTGATGAGGCAGTGACCGTGGTGGTGTAAATGGAAGCGGCGGTGGAGGAGGACGAGGTAGCCAACACTGTTTATATATATATATATTTTTTTTATTTTAATTGGGGTAGCCCCCAAAATATTGGGACATATAAAAAAAGAAACATTTGCAGCCTGCGGTGCATTTCTTGCAGTCCTGATGCATGGAGAAATGCTCAACTCCTGATGCATGGAGAAAAAGGCCTTCACAAGCCTCTGCTATTGTGTACATAGTTTATACTAAGTGACCCATAGGTTGAGGAGGTGGTGACCGTGGCGGTGTAGGTGGAAGCGGCGGTGGAGGAGGAGGATGAGGTAGAAAAAACAGTTTTTAATATATCTATATATTTCTTAATTGGCATAGCCCCCAAAATATTGGGACATATAAAAAAAGACAACTCTGTTCCGCAGAGTAGCTGTTGACATTATAGTTGCGCAGGCACTTTGTTGATCCCTGTGACAGCAACTTTGCATTCGGATGTCATCCATATCAACTTTCGATGCCAGTTTCTGCACCTACCATGGTGACCACGGGTAACATGGAATAAGGGTACCATTCTGCATTACATACAGGGACCCTGAGAAACGGCTACCACATGCAAGTAAGGCAGCAGACGCGTAAATGACCCACTCCCGACGCGGGAAGGTAGTGACGACAGATAATACAGAACTCTTTAGAGGCCCTGTAATTGTAATGAGTCCACTTGAAATCCTTTAACTCTGATCAATTGGAGTGAAGTCTGGTGCAGAGCCACTGACCCGTGCGTGCTGCAGCTGAAACTCCACTATCGCCTGCTGCTGCTCCCACAGTCTCATGAGGCGGTGAGCGGGAAGGCTGAAGTTACGCTGCAGCGCAGACAGGCGAGCAGCAGCAGGGTGAGAACAAGTGTTGTAGGTATGAAACAATATTACAAGTGACCGATGTAGTAAATTCGAATCAAAGTTACTGTGACGGGCCGCTGGCACTCCGACTGAATACCTCCGCCAATCGATGCTCCTAGCGCTTGCTGAGGACTCCGAGCACTCCAACCGACACCATCAGCACTGCGGACCCCACTTCCAGCGATGCAGCTGCGCCGGGGTCTCACCGTCTCTCACCCACCCTGGATCCACGACCAGGATCCAGTTCCCAGTGGGTGAACCTCTCCTAGATCGAGAGAGCATAGCAGGAACAAATCAAGCTCTTACAAGAGCTTACTCTGGGGAGTGATTATAGCAATCCCCAGAGTGTAGGTATCCCTTCCCCTAAGCATGAGCCAAGGCTTCAAGAAAGGTGCAAGTAGGTCTGGTTTATTGAGGGCTACCTGCCTGGTATTTATGCAAGTGTCCACCAGGAGGACACTCCCCTAGGGGACCTGATGGAACAATGGGACACATATTGGATATTAGCCAATCACAGACAATACAAACAAAACAGTGACATCACAATCCCTCCTCTCTATCCTGGAGATAATTGGGAAGTAATCAAATTATCTCCCAGGACAGAGGCAAGACTCCATTAACCACATGGTTACAAAAAGACATAAAATTACACAATGTTACAATTACTACATAAAACATATACATGCAACATATCCCCAGATAGCGTAGATCTGAGCGCACATTATTACCGAATGGCGCTCAGATCACATACATACAGTTCAATCGCCATGGAGCCAAAGTCTTTTCCATAGTCTTTCATTACACGAGTAGGCTCCATGGCATAGCTATCTGGGGTAGCACTACTCACATACTGAAAGTCACGAACGTCCCGGCAGAAATACACAAATAAACCTTTCTGCAGGGTGAAATACAGCTATCAGCACAGGGGCCATAGTCGGAAGACAGGAGGCTAGCTAGTAGTCCCCTCCAGGCACAAGTGGCGAAGGGCACTTTGTCACAGTTATGCTTCGATTTGACTCTCAGATATAAAGTGCATACCCCAAATATACTATTTAGCACCCAAAAAAATGTACTTTTTAAAACTCCAATGTAAGCACCAGATTAGCAGCAAAACAATTAGAATGTTTACAACTGCGCAGTAAGCGCACTATTTGACGTTTCTATTTGAAGCTCAGATATGAAGTGCACCGCAGGCCGCAAATGTACTTTTTAGCAGATTAGCAGCGAAACAATTAGAATGTTTACCACTGTGCTGTAAGCACACTATTAGACTCCTCAATTTTACTCTCAGATATGAAGTGCACGCCCCAAAATGTACTATTTAGCAGATTAGCACCCAGAAAATTAGTATTTTTACAACTGCGCTGTAAGCACACTATTAGATGCTTCTATTTGACTCTCAGATATGAAGAGCAGGCCCCAAAATGTACTATTTAGCAGATTAGCAGCAAAACAATTAGAATGTTTACCACTGCACTGCAAGCACACTATTAGACGCTTCTATTTGACTCCCAGATATGAAGTGCACCCCACTAAAATACTATTTAGCAGTTTAGCCCCCAGAAAATTGTGAGTTTTAAAACTGCAATGTGACAGCAGTATTTGACACTTCTATTTGACTCTCAGATATGAAGTGCACCCCACTAATGTACTTTTTAGCACCCAAAAACCGTAATGTTCGGTATGAACCCGAACTTTACAGTCTGGGTTCGCTCAACTGTAATCATGGTATCCAAATTAAAAATATTTTTGTTGAAAATACTTTGCAATCAAGGTAATAGTTTTACTGTGTGTTTTATTTGAAAATATGTCAGCTTTTTATTCTCCATGTATAGTATGTACACAACTTCCATAAATATAACCCTTGCTTAATAGTTTTGTAATATTAATGATACATTAAAAGCACAACCCCCAAAAGAATGTATGCAATGAAAGTTTATTAGTTAAGTTTGAGATATCTTTCACTCTCCATCATTATAATTGGTCTTTTTTTACTTTTATATCTACATATAATGTATTGAAAAATCTTTTTAATAAATTGTACATTTACTGCTTTCTTTTTTAGAATACTAATATTTGACAGGATTGTATAGCTATATAATTAAGTTACCGATATACAGTTATATAGACACACACTGATACATTTTACAGTATAAAAGTTTTCTGATTCAATATAGTAGTTTTTTTAAAGCTATCCAAGGAAGCACATAGATTTTCACTCACTGTAGGTATCCTGACTGTTTTTATTGCTCATGAAAGAGTGGAACTAGGAGAGAACAGGACACTTAACCCCTTAAGGACCAAACTTCTGGACTAAAAGGGAATCATGACATGTCACACATGTCATGTGTCCTTAAGGGGTTAAGAGCAACAATTCTACTGATTAGAACATTCTGTTCCACCTTCAGAGCAGTTAGACACCAAGGTGACTGCTGCTTGAGTGATGGATTAAAATACAAGAGACTTTCTGTCTATACATCTATATTTACAGATAGGTGTTAAAACTCCACCTGTCTGCTGAATTTAAGCTTGCAACAAATGGTCTTTTAATACTAAATTGCATTTGCTTGTGAAATAGGTTTTGATTTATCAGTAGAAAAAAAAAGAAAGAAAATAAAAAAAGACACACACACACATAAATGAAAAAAAATACAGTGGAGAATAGTAAACCCTAATTATTAAGAGTACAGCCACAGTTAGGTAATCATGCCTGTAGGAGCTGCACCTCTGCCAGAATAAACCCTTTACTGGCAAAGGAGAAACAAACTCTTGCAGCTTTGGAGATAAGTCTGAAAAGTGAAAAAAAAATCAGCAAAATATGGTGTCTGATGAAAATAAAAAGTCATTCCGAACTACAAGCAAATGTAGCAAATAAAATATTATAAAATTAAATTGCATCTGAAAACAATTAAATAGCATCTGAATAGGTTTCATATTTGTTAATTAAGAGGCATATGCAGTGCTTTCTTTTTGCCTGTTAATTATTTGTGAACTGAAAGTCTCAAAAAATAAATATTTTGGTTTGTTGGATGCTTATGATTAACAGTATGAACATTATCATATTGCTTCACTATGCGGTGTAAAAGGCCAATCCACTGCTAATTATGAATGTAAGTTAGTTTAAAGATTTGTGATAATTACTATCACGTATTGCAGACTAGCTACCAAGTGTAACTGCATTAACTAGTTGATCTGATGTGCCGCTTGACATAGTAATAGAACAACGAATAATGTGCTGCTTGCTGCAAGGAGTCACAGCACACTTACACTGTACCCTCTGCCCTCAGCCAGCTCTGACCTGCACATCAACCTCAGCCACCCTCCAATTAGTTTCTCCTCTTGGTGGGATGGTGGGCTGTCCTTTCATCCCTTTTACTGTGTACAGCAGCTCTTATGAACTAGGGAGATTTTCTGGCCCCATCCCTCCACTACATCCTGAACAGCCAGCTCACAGTGTGACCAGAGATGCTGCAGATCTCCTCCGCCTCCCAAAGTATAATTGAGAAATAAAGGGACGAGTAACAGAGCACAGGCTGCAGATATATGCAGTTAGTAAAAAAATCTGAGAGAGGTTTTAGCCTGTGCCTTTGCTCCCCTTTCCATCAGCAAATGCTTGAGCTTCTTCCTTCCTGTTTTAACTGCACAGAGCTGAATAGAGGTGGTCAGTGTTGATCTTTCTGAAGTTCAGAGCCTGACGGTGGTTAGTGCCGCTGCGCTGGAAATTTATAAAGTTCACATATTGAATATGCTGTGCAATTTTGGGCACCTGTTCTAAAGAAGGATATTATGGCACTAAAAAAAGTGCAGAGGCAGGCTACAAAATTAATAAAAGGAATGGAACATATCAGCTATGAAGAAAGGTTAAATTTAAACCTATTTAGTTTAGAAAAACGTCGCCTGAGAGGGGATATGATAACATTATACAAATATATTCGGGGCCAATACAAACCATTTTGTGGAAATCTATTCACAAACCGGACTTTACATAGGACACAAGGCCATGCGTTTAGACTAGAAGAAAAAAGATTTCGTCTAAGGCAAAGGAAAATTCTCTGCCTGAAGAAGTTGTTTTATCAGAGTCCATACAGATGTTCAAACAGCTACTAGATGCATACTTGCAAAAACAGAATATTCAAGGATATAATCTTTGAATGTAGGGTAATAGCTGCTTGATCCATGGATAAATCTGACTGCCATTCTGGGGTCAAGAAGGATTTTTTTTCCTAGCTTGTTGCAAAATTGTGCTTCAAACTGTTTTTTTTTTTTGCCTTCTTTTGGATCAACAGCAAAAAACAAATGTGAGGAAGGCTGAACTTGATGGACGCAAGTCTCTTTTCAGCTATGTAACTATGAAACTAAAAAACATAATTTGCTAACAAAATTGTCAAATATGCAAATTGTGTATATACAATTGTGGGTTATAAATACATACCTTGGCAACTCCTTCACATGAGTGCCAATTTGAAGGGAGTTAAAAAAGAAGCACTTCAGTTACTCAGATGTCTTAATGCTAACTTTATTTTCTGGTTACTACTCTTTTTGTACAGATATGCAAATATTCTGTATAACTTGTTAATTACTATAAAAGGAGGACATTAGTACAGAAGCAAAGAGAAATATTTTTCCAACTAGCCATTTGAAAGTGAGAATTATGACCTTGTGAGTTACACCTGGTGCATGTTCATAAAATGCATAATAGAACAGTAAATAAAAATATTGAAGTTGTAGCATGATTACCTATGATGTTTTGCATCAAACCTTTTTTTTTAACAGATGTTTTGCAACATCTTGTATCAGCATTGATAGAGTTATTCACTAAATTAAAAATTCAAAGGGAATTTGAAATATAAGTGAAAATTGCTGAACTGGAACAATTCTCTAAGTCAGCTATGACACCCGTTAAGCTACCCAATAAAAGTAAGAACTCTTGAACATAACTTTGTCATGGTAATTTAATAAAGTGAGAATTTAAAGTAAATTCTAATTGAATTTTTGGCCAAAGTTCCTAAACTGTCTAAACCAGTTCTGCTGCTTTGACCTAAAGTTGAAAATTCAGTTTGCATTCACTTAACATTTTACCTTTAGTGAATAACTCTGAAAATCAGGTGATAATTCTTTTTGAACTAGTCCTGCAAATCCTAAGGCATTATTTGGAACACATTAAAAGGAACAGAAAATACCAAAGCATAATAAATCTGCTAGAAGAGTTGATCTAATGATGAGTCAACTGGAAGGAACTCCAGAAGAGCCCAGATTAAGGAGCTGCATATATTGTACTAGGTGACATATCTGGTGTGAAAAATATGTTTCTTTATACAGGTAAAGCATACACTAGTAAAACAGCTTCTACGATTAATAATTTGTTGTTTGGTTGAAAGGTTAGGTTAGGCTAAGAAATATATATCTGCTTTTACTGTCACTCTCACATTTCATTACTACCATACATGGAAAATTGTCAGAAATGTTCTAATATATTGAGCATGTACCTCAATGTATTGCAGTTTACCAACTTTATCATCTGCCAGCTGCCAAACAAAAGACAGTCATTTATTTAATACAGCCATGATTAGGCAAACCATCTAATCACTTCACTAAGGTGAGTTGGCCAATGCAATGAAGGTTTTTAGATCTGCTATATTACATTTAACTTAGCACTGGGGAAGCTGGCCCTGTTCGAATCCACGTATCTTGGCTCCTTCACTGGACACAGTTTCTCTGGTAGTTCCCGTATCGTTTGCACCAATAGCACTGTATTTTGCTGTGTGCAGAGTGTCAGGGTGCTTGTGGGTTGGGGATGTGCCCTCCTTGTTGCTGTACTGGCAGCCCTGGGTTGGGTCTGGGCATTGGGCGGCTACTGGGTGGCTGGGGTCTCCGGGCATCCAAATACTCATCTGCCCGCTGAGCTACTTCGGTTAGGGTTAGGGGTCATCTGTCCCTAACCCATTCTTGAACTTCTGAGGGGAAGCCATTGTAAAACTGCTCCAGCAGAAAGACTTATTGTATCTCCTCTGGGGTCTTTGCCTTTTAAGCCTGCATCCAGTTGTGGGCTGCTCTGGTGAGACGGCAAGCCCATTGGAATCTTTGTCATTTTTCTTTAATTCGCTGAATTTTCTGCGATATGCCTCTGGTGTAATTGCATATCGGCCAGCAGAACTTGTTCTACCCTAGCGTATATTCTCAATTCAGCATCTGGCATGGCTCAGTAGGCATCTGCAGCTCTTCCTGTTAGTTCTCCTGCTAGGAGGGGGACCCAGTCTGTGACCGCAATATCATGTTGCAGACAGAGCCATTCAAAATCCTGCAGAAACATATCAATATCTTCTTCTGTTTTAGCGAATGTTTTAAATGACTTGCAGGGGACTTTGGGTTTGTGTTCGGGAACTATCGCACTGGTGGGGATACCTCTACTGCCCGACGCTTGGCTACTTGTAGTTGGTTCGCTCAATCTCCTTTCGCCTACAGGAGTGCTTGTACCTCTGAAATGTTTCGGGCCATGATCTCTTCGGATGGATTCCCTCCATAATAGCGAGGCGAATCCGCATCTCGTTTTGCAGCTCTGTCTCTGGATCCATGGGTGCAGGAGCCCCATTATGCACTCTGTCGTCCTCCATGAGAGCTGTGATCAAGGCTTCTTCAGATCGGTTGCTGGCTACTTGTCCACGTGCTTCCAGAAACTCCTTAAGTGGTTTCCTTTTTAAATTCATGTAGTTCATGGATTGGTTTGGCTGTTCGTTCGGCTCACCAACTCTGGTTCTGTTTGGCTGGGAAGTACCATCCCACCGGTTGCCACTAATTGTAGCCGACCATTGGTAACATGACTGGTTACCTCCGCTAATTCCTTCCTTCAGCAACTCTAGAACCATTAAAGCATACAGGCATCCATTCCCCCAGTAACTAGATGAAACATATTTTTAGGAGTCAACTGACTTTACTAGACATAGCACACATATTTTAAGCCCCCAACAGCCTCATTTACATACAATGATGCATAGAATACTATAGTATAAGGAATGGTGGGGTCAGACAATAGCAAAGATGGGAGACTGAGGAGGGACAAAGCAGCTGGTTTAAACTGTTCTGGCAGTGTCCCTGGGACAATGCCCTGCTGGGGAAACAATAGGACAGGAAAAAAGGGGAGGGGGAGAGGCATAGACAAGCAATACATTCAACATACTATAAATGGGCACAGGGTGACCAAAACACAAAAAGGGACCCACACATAGCTGGTTTGGTAAATTAATGGGGGGTGTACTGACAGCCAAACAAAAGCGAATAAAAGTGTAGCTAGAGCATCCATTCCGCTACACTAATTATTTCTGATTTTGTTTGCATTATTGTTTTCAGTGTCTTGCATTGTTACTGTTACATGTTTTCAAAGTGACTAGTGATGTACCGAACGGTTCGCCGGCGAACGGTTCCTGGCGAACATAGCATGCCTCTTCTTCCATCTCCCTGTTACAAAAATCAATGCCGTGTACACGACTACTGATAGGAGACGCGGAAGGTATTAAACTGATAAAAATAGTACTAAACACACCACTCCTATCTGGTGTCACATTAGCTTGACCGCGCAGTGCCCCAAATTTGCAGTAAGAGGACCGACCAAGCCTCTTCTTCCATCTCCCTGTTACAAAAATCAATGCCGTGTACACGTCCACTGATAGGAGACGCGGAAGTTATTAAACTGATAAAAATAGTACTAAACACACCACTCCTATCTGGTGTCACATTAGCTTGACCGTGCAGTGCCCCAAATTTGCAGTAAGAGGACCGACCAAACCTCTTCTTCCATCTCCCTGTTACAAAAATCAATGCCGTGTACACGTCCACTGATAGGAGACGCGGAAGGTATTAAACTGATCAGAACAATACTAAACACACCACTCCTTTTTTTTGGTGAGGCTTTACAGGACAGAGTGCTTCTCCACGGGACATGTTAACTCACGGGCAGCTGGCTCATCAGGGAACCACAGCAGCTTTCCATGTACAGGTAAGACACGTGCAGCCGGTAAGGGTTCAGGCTCTTCTTCCTGGAGGATACGCTGCAAGCCTGTTGAACGAGGTGACCTTGCTCGGGTCCCAGGTGTACGGTTCCTAAAATGGCTGCCATATACACGTCCACTGATGGGAGACGCGGAAGGTATTAAACTGATCAGAACAATACTAAACACACCACAAATAAGGTTTCTCTCCTGTATGGCTCCTCAAATGATGCTTAAGATTAGAAGCGGCTGAAAAGCATTTCTCACACTCAGAACAAAAAATATATTTTTTTAACATTCTCCACTTGAACTTAAAATGACGCTTTGGGGAAGAGATTAACATAATTAAACACAGGCAGTAAAAATACAGTTTTTAGCCATACCCTGTAACTTTAAAACTACACATCCCATCTTCATAATTACATATTTGGAATCAGTACACTTAAAACATAAACATAACCAAAAATCAGCCAAATCCATCCAGGGGTTAAAAAGTTAGCTTGAGGTCCCTTTATGACCGACCGCAAGCACATTTTCCTGCCCAAAACCGTTCCATAGATTTGGGCTGTGAGGTTGGTCTATTTCAGGTTGAAAAAACGACTAAGTCCCATCGCCGAATTGGACTTAGTCTCTGCAGCTG